TGCGCATGCATATACAGTGCCTCAAACAAGTGACCGCGTGTTGAAATTTTTTAAATATTCGCAATATTTTTCATCTTAATTTTTTTTGTTATCGTTATCGTTTCACAGAAGGATACTGTTTGCTTTTACCGAAATTATTTACTTAGCTCAAGTTATTTCCAAAGAAAAGAAAGATTTTTGATTCAAGTTTCTTGAAAGCATCAAATCGTATCGTCATGTTTTCAATAAGTCCAAGCGGAACGTAGAAGACCTCGCCTCAGAATTCGAATCCATGGATTTTTGAAGTAATTTGTCACTAAGTTTTCTTGTTCTACGCCATTTGTCCTGGAACATATGTATATGCGGAACCAATATTTCCAGCTACCGTTTTGAATTCCTGCGTTTATTCTGCACTGATTTCTCAAATATTTAAGATCTTCAAATAAAGACTTTATGTTGACAGCTTCCACATCAATCGCAAGCCAGATAGAAGCCATTAAAATACAATCAAACGATTTCATGGTCTTGTATCGGCGGTTAGATTAAATTATTAATAGTTTTAATGAACCTCTTAAAATTCGGAAGACGAGCTGCCGTTTTACACAACCGACTCTAGCAGATCAACGAGTTTGGGGCATACTGTGCAATGAGCAGTCAATATTTTCTTGTAAAATCGACTACCTTTCAAGGCTATAACTGAATCACTTCATCGGCTGTGAATAGCGTGTGATTGTCAAAATTTTGAATTTCACTAGTGAGTGAGTGAAAACGTGAGAGTGTTTGTATTTTCTGTCACCCTGTTTCCTTCGGGGAAGAATAGCTAAAATTTGACAATCGTCAGCTAAACGCAAAAACAAAATACAAGTAATTTTTGTATTTGTAGAATCGATATCACCTTATATGAATTCGCCTTTGAACAAAATTTTTTTTTCTTATTGAAGAAAATCACAAAATTCCTCTTCAGTTCTATTTAGTTGTTTTTTATTGCATATTTTATCATATTTGCATTTTGCATTTGTTAAATTTTTTCAGCCGGACCCGGGTCAATTGAAAAATTTTGGAAAAAATGTCGCTTACGTTATTTTGGCGGTTAGGGCTCGATATATAAAAAAAAAAAAGTCTTGGGCGGGACGAAGTTCGCCGGGTCTGCTAGTATTGCTTTATTTGCAACCGATATCTGAATTTGAGAATTTTTTTCGATGTCCTTTCATATGCATACATAAATCTGTATATTTTATAACAAATCATTATTATGCACTGAAACACATTTTAAGGTACGGTGCCAGGCATAAGTCACTCACCCTCTTGCTTCAGTTGTTGTAATATTATTGCATTTCGTATTGATAAGGTGATTATCTGCAAGCGAAAAAAGCGTGTGGGTATTACATACATACAATACATCTGTGCTAACAATCATGAATTTTACATTCTATTTTTATACACTTACACGTATAATAAATAATGCGAACACTATTATCACCAACGATATTATGCAAATACTAAGATCTTCCATATTTGCTCCTCAAATAGGTTGACAGTTTGTGCAAACTCTAATATTGATAAGCAGAAATACTGAAACAAAGAGTGTCATGGCTCTTATCTTTTGATAACCATTTTTAGTCACAATACAATATCCATAATTTACGTTAAAAATGTTGTGATATTTATAACGCTTCAGTGGTTATTCAAATTTATTTTTACCGCGTTTATATTCGTTTTTAAATCGTATAGTAAATATATTCTCGCGTTCATTGTAATGTTCGAATTTTTTCTGGTCACCAAATTGGACACTCGATTTTGATAAAATTGTACCAGTATTCAGCATGAACAATTAATTTTTGATAAGATAAATATATTTTGTAATTTGTTTATATCACTTTCCCGCTTTAATTTAGTTATTATAATTTTTTATTTAGTATTTTAAAGTTGTTCATTGCTCGTATTTATTTATTTATAAAAACATTAACCAAATTTTTGTATTAAATAGTCTAAAGAACACCTCTACCAATTACTCGCGCTCTATTTTTGTTTAGCGGCATTTCATATAAAATGCCCGTTATTCTCTACAGCTCACAGGCGAGTGAAGTTATTTATAATTCAAGTTGAATAAAAAGCAAAATCAACAAGGAGCATTCTATTGTTTAAGTATTTTATGCCACAGTATTGCTGATAACAGATATATAGGCCGAGATGCGCCACAGACTTTTGCGCGATATTTTCATGTGTCGATCTTGGATCGAGTGCGTGGTAAGTTCCGAGTTCGGAAATCAATTTTCTGAAAGGGACCGCTTCTGATATTTAGGTTTCCATAGACAACTACCTACACAAACCGATGAGAAAAAGGGTTTAGTCAAACCAAGCAATATGCCGCACACTGAACTATGTTATGATCAACACATCCTGTGCGGAAACGCACTAGTGTCGAACTGGTTCCGTACTAGAGAATTTAGAGCCATGACTAGTGCGCTAGCAACTGGCGAATTTAATATTGCGATGTCCTACGATGTGTTAATTAAATTATTTTCAAATCAGTTTGTTTTCAATTTGCAATGCAATTTTTTTGAATGTTTGTAAGAAATGTAAAGCCGTCTTTACACTGGTCAATTTTCTAGTCTACTTTTGTCGTTCAGTCAAAATCGACCAGTGTAAATGGCAATCCAACCGTAAAATGTATTTTTTTTTTTTTGCTGGTTGATTTCTCAGACGATTTTCCAGTAGACCCGTGTAAAGGCAGCTTAATTCAAGCTGATCATTTGAAAACAAGTTTATATACCTTTGGCAGTAGCTGAGTGTGCAGAGGCGCTTGCTGTTATTTGTTCGATTCCAGAAGGTCCCAAGTTGTTTTGCATTACGAAGCTATGAAAAACCATATGTGAAGTGCTGAATGGATTCGCATTTGAACGAACAAAACGCCAAACAAATAACTTTAAAGTAAGCAAGCCCCCGCTGCATCCGTTTTTCTATACATTCAGAGAAAAGTCATCCAAATATATTTCCTTCATTATATAGTTTGGTATCTATAACCGGCCGCTGTGGTGTAGTGGTAAGCAGTGCGCGCTTCCACTCCACAATGCCTGGGTTCAAACCCTGGTCAAAGCAACATCGCAAAAATATAGAAAAAAGGTTTTTTCTTAACAGCGGTCGTCCCTCGGCAGGCAATGGCAAACCTCCGAGTGTATTTCTGCCATGAAAAACAGCTTCTCATAAAAATACAATCGCCGTTCGGAGTCGGCGTAAAACTGTAGGTCCCTCCGCTTTGTGTGACAACATCAAGGCGCACGCCACAAATCGGAGGAGAAGCTCGGCCAAACACTAACATATGTGTAAGCGCCAATCTATTATTATTATTATCTATAACCAAATGATGTAACTATAACCAAATCACTCGGACCCGAATTCGGACCTCTTAAACGGTAGTCTAGTGGTTTGCTCACTCGGCCATTGCCACTGCCTGGGCAGCGTAAGCAAAATGTCGATTGTTTACTTTGCACTCGCTCATTTCGAATCAGCATTCGAAACTGACAACGATATTGTCGAGTTCATTCGGATTCAGTGATAGAAATTTTTTCGTATTCGTAGCAGGCATTCGAATTCGTAGATTTTCTACGATGGATTCCGTGATAGCCCTGAGTAGTTCTGAAATTTGTAGTGCTGAACTAGTGCCTTGCGAGACTGTGCCTCATTTACACTGCAGGGTGTGTATGTACATATTTACGTATGTATGCGTGCTATGTTTTGCGATCGGGCTTATCGGCAGCTGAGTTATCTGTGATTTACTTTTTCTTCCTCTTTTGCACTTTCAGTATCGTTAAATACATATGGCTGTATGTATATGTAGTGAGTATTACTGACGAATAATTTTCAGAGAGAAAGCCATAAACATGGAAGAATTAAACATGGGCCGCAGACGGTGGTTATTTTATGTATTTATTATTATATTTCAAAGCTCCCCCAGACACCAGAGTGAGTCTCCATTATCTCTTATGCTGACGACTGCTCGTTAATGGTGTCCGGGAGTGAATTGATGATTTGTGCTTGAAAATAAACGGTTACCTCTCCGATCTTGCACGCTTCTTCACTACCTACATGACGTGGCCCAAAATCTCCCCGTCAAGGAATACATGTTAGAAGTTCCTAGCTCATTGCCACAGACGTAGGCATCCGAACAAACTCCTTCTTGCTACAGAGCCTTCGCCTAGACACGTCACAAGGCATCTTAACGAACTTAACGACGAAGTCCAGAGGTTCATAAAATATCTTCAGGACCCGACAGATTACAGACAAGTAATAAAGGGCATTCGCTGGGAGTCGGTCTCGACTTATACCAACTCCGGATGTTTGAATGCCGTTTTGGGAACACAGCCACCAAACGTGGACGACACAGAACTTTGTCTGCCTCGTGAGACTCGCACTACCTTAGCCTAACTTCGCTCTGGATATTGCTGCAGACTAAACTTCTACCTGAGTAGGATAAATGCAGAACTGCCCAATGAGGGCTTGGCATACGGAGAGTCATCTCACGACTTGCACTACATCTTCGCATACTCCCAAAACCCAGCTCAACGCCCCTGTCCACCTGGTCCAACCCAGTCGGAGTGGCACGCTTCCTGGGCCTCCCGTTAGCTGAGATTGGCCACAACGATTGAGGGACTAGGCTAGGCTAGGTAAGCCGATACAACAACAACAAAGTGTTATAAAGCAAAATCTAGCAGGCCTTTCTTCACTACCGCCAGAAGGTACCTCGTTGATAACTTTTTACTTTCAAGGCTAGAGCGTTCGTGTGCAGGAAATGAATCCCACTACTTACACAAATAAGGGATTTGCGAACAGAGACCTCTCGAGCAGGTACGAGGATCGAGTAGCCAAGATTCTGAATTATATATTATATTAATTGAAAGAATACCAAATAACCACTAACGGCAAAAACAAAAATTAACACAGTTTATACATCTCTATGGCAATTTAGATGTGAAGGAACAAAGCTAGGTAGGAATCAGCTGTTTAATTTGGCGCGAATCAAAATCAAATTAGTAATCAATTGTAAAAAGATAAAAGCTATTTTATTTTTTTGTAAAACTGTGAAATGGTTTACGAAATAAGCGAAAGCTTGAAGGTTGTATTTCAGGTAAATTTCTGATTGGTAAATATGTATGTAGTGTCTCCATACCTGTTTATTAAAAAAAGAAAAGGAAATGGGGCGCCTTCGTCAACGGAAAATACTGATTATATCCGGTTGTGAAATTTTATAGAATTTTTACTTGAGGCGATTTTACAGACAACTTACAGTTGAAAGCCCGTTGGAAACGCCCTTTCAATTAATCGTTACCAATGAAGTTGGGGGCAGACAACTTGTGATTCAACTATTCGCCTCATATAGACACCGTATTAACTACTAATAGTCTTTATAAACCATGAAGCATTCAATTATTTTGCACTTGCAACAATTAATCATGATTTATAAAATTTGCAGGCCATAGAAGATAGATGCAGCGATCCCATACTTTATGATCGTTATGAATTGAAAACGTTACTGCGGAACTTAAGTTCCATTGAGCAGGTAAACATGTATACAAATTTGCTACTGTGTATTTCACTAAATTTCGGACTGACTTCAGCTTCTTATTGCACGAAACTTCTGCAAACTGTCATGGAATATTGGTAGCCTACGTGTTTTAGCGGTGCTACAAACAGCCCACGTCCTCACTGCCAGCAATTATATACTCAGGTAATCAGAAAGTTAAAACAGAAACAAAGAAAATTGAAAATAATTTCCTTTTTTAAACCCCTTTGCAGTCAAGAGAACAATGCGGGGTTACAGTTGATTCTAAATGATTTTCTTGAAGCTGAATTCGAATTGATCCAAGAATTATTTATCGCCGCACATTATGGTATTATGTATTATATACATATGTATGCAGCTATTCAATTAAATTTTATTACATTTTATTTTTTATAATTTTTCAGATAGTAGCAATGGTATACGTCTAAATGATATTATAGATGAATGTCTTGGCAATCTCTATGCTGATTTACTGCAAAATCCTAAATTAAACGATCTCAAATACCTTCAAACTGTTACAAAGCATATGCCAGGTGGGAGTTCAAAACATATAAAAATTTAGTTATAAATACAATGATTTTTCCTTACTTTGCAAAGCTGATTTTATAGTGGGTTTAATGCAGAGGCATATACGCATTGTGTTAGACCTGCATAAGAGCAATACTAAGTCAGCTTTTGCTAACTTTGCAATCTGGATAAATGAAGGCGTAGATGAAATTGAATTTACAAAGGAAATATACAGTAAAGTAAGATTCTCATTGGTGCAGTTGCATACTAATATTGAATTCATCAACTTTAGTTACTTCAACATTCACAACCGGAAGCGATTTCCTACCTTTTTAAACTATCTACCGCAGAAAGCTTTAAGGAATGGAAGTTTTATTTAATTTTACTACAAACAATTGCCTGCAAATGCGCTCAGGAGAGCACATTGGTCATAAAAAGTTAGTTTGCCAATCATAATTTGAATCATTGTATGTGAAAGCCACTCTGTTCCCTTTTAGAATACTTCAAAGCAAGGCTGGTACAAATAGCTGCAACTCCATCGCGTGAGGCCATGTTACATTTGTTATTATCCATTCGCGCTGCTACTGCCACAACAATGGATATTGATAAGAATATCACCGCTTACGCTGACTGGTACAAACAAAATATTAGTGATATGAAATTCATTTTTAAAGTGGAGGAATTTCAAGCCATAATTGATCTTCTACAGCAATGCATACCTTATGAAACTGCTGAGGATTATATAGAGGTGTTTTTTAAGTGCTTATGTTTATCTATTCATTAGTATTAAAAACACAAACTTACTTTTAGATTCATGCCACCTACTCGATATCACCGCCATTACATTGCGGCAAACTTGTGCAAAGCTATAAGAGTAAATGCAAAATGCAGTTGGCCAAAATAAAATCCAAGAACAAAGAAGGTAATGAAAATGATAACAGTATACTTATCGAAGATAGTGAATAAATAGTGGTATCTTAAATACAATTAAACACTTCTCAATAGCTTACTCTTTATGACCTAAAAATCACCGCGATTTATTAGTATAATTACAAATCCAAACACCTGGCGTAATTCTTAAGCTAGAAATTAAGATTAATACGTTAACGCTAACCACATTACAACTTCTGCGCTCGTTCACCACCAGCTAGCGGCTTATTTCGTTCATCCCATAGTGTTACGCCGTCACACGCGCATATTTTTTTGAAATTCTCCAAAATTCCCGCCGAACGTGCAATTATACCACAGGCAATGCTGTCAAAATCAAAACCACTGAGCTTTTACCTCTTCCCAAAGTAAACATCTAATAAATTGTACTTACCGTGCACCCGCGTTACCATCTATACGACTCTGCGAATTACCACCTCTACCCAAATCGTCTGCGTTAGCTGTTATCGCCACCGAACGCCCTATGATATCCCACACTGCCAATACTGGATCTACAAAACGAAATGTTGCTCGTCCTCTATCATCGGCGCGTATATTACCCAAATCTCCAGCATGTCGCGCATCAGGTGTATCATCTGGTCCACCATGAGGTGAACCGCGTGGATTATAGTGCTCGCCGAGCGATTCGCATCCGCTGGATATATCCCCTGCCTCGTGTACATGCAGTCCATGCAAGCCCGGCGTTAGGCCATCCACAACACCGTCTACCACTACGCCGGGATGGTCCTTGGTCAGCGCACTAAATCGTAATATGCCCTGTATTGGGGTGCGATCTACATCGCTGCCAGTTGCATTTATAATCGCCACAGCAGACTGTCCACCAAAGCCGACCAACACGGCTTTTCGACCCGTGCATTCGATTTTTTCCTTTAAAATGCACCAAGGCTCTTTTGTTTCCACAGTAACTCGGCCCTCAGCTGCATCAATATGCACGTTACCAGCATCTTTGAGCGCATTGCGAACTTTCTCAGCGCAAAGCTCGCCACGCATTTGCACTGCGAATTCAACCTTTTTATTAAAGAAGTTTCATACTTAGTCAAAATAGAGTTAAATATCTGCTGGAAATCATTACCTTAATTTCACTCATTTGCTAACGGAGGATGATAAATGATTTTGTTTATACGTAGTGAATAATGCCGGAAAATTACAATCTTAAGTGCAAGAGCACTGATAAGGGCAAAGATTCCAAGTTCAGCAGCTGTATTAATAAAACATATGTTTTTGACAGTTAGTGTTTGGGGAAATTTGACACTGAAATGGTACGGTGTTGCCAATTCCAATTCCGGTAAAAAAATTAGGTCTGTTTCTTAACAAATACTTTCGGCAAAGAAAGCTCGCCGACAAGAGCTTAAAATATGAGGTGCTATTAAAAAATCATAATTTTTTATCGGTACCAAGGCACAATAAACTGGTAGCAGCATTCGACATTCCCACGACAGCCGGTACTACGTACCGGAATGACTTGGGTTTTACTCGACCAAGTGCTGTTGTTTTGGCGATCTAAGCCCGTTTAGATCGGTGAAATATCTTAGACATTGTTTGTCCATAGGGCTACATTTGTTAAGTATTCTTCTGCTTAGGGGTGGCATCGAGTCAAATCCTGGGCCAGAAACTTACACCAGCTGTGTATGCGAGAGACGACTACACCACAACGCCTCCTTAGTCAAGTGTAATGCTTGCAACGGGTTGAGTCACTTAGAGTCTGCTCAGGCCTACGGATACATCGACGATACATCAACACAACACAATAGACCAAACAACGACAGACCACATAACAGACACAACCGCACCACTACCCGCACGCCTCCCCCAACAACTCCTGGTTCCTCCAACAATCTGCACGGTGTGTCAGACCAGGATATCCGTAATGTGACATCAGTCAAGTGCAAAACCTGCCTTGGCTGGTGCCACTTCAGGGCATGTTCAGGTCTGCGCACCATGCGAGATTGGACGAGGAACTTCGAGAGCCAGTGTTTCGCTGCATGGTCGCAAGCTCCAATTGCGACGCCACCCACAACCACCACAGGGCGGCACCTCCCACAGCAGCGCACACAGCCTATGGCGGAGCAAGATCGAGGAGAAAACCGTCTTCATGGGAGGGCATGGAATATTGATAGCTGCGTTCCAAGGGACGAAGTTGCACAGCAGTTCAGCATTGTTGAATTGCGCCGGATACATCTGCACCGTCGAGATCGCGAGTGAGATAGCAGTAGTGAACTAGCGTTCATCACCCACCACAGCGTGCAATATCGTCTCATCGAAGCAGACATCGACCGCAGGGATACCATCCTAGAATGTCAGAGCATTGCTTTCCGGTCAGGCGATGTTGAGCTCGAAATATTAAACGTTTATATACCCCATGTCACCAGCAGCCCGGCTGGATATAATCCTGAAATAGGTGCGCTCCTCAGAGGTGAAAACCGTATGTTATTACCTCGATCTTTGGAATTCAAGCCTTTCAAATGATCGTAGGGGAAGACACTTGGCTGAGCAGATAGCCGATTCGACATTCTGCACAATAAACGACAACTCACCCCCCGGGATTATGGGCAGCTGCTACAGCTCGTCAGACATAATAATATGCTGACTTTGGCATCAAACCATCTGACCTCGGAGCAAATCAACTACATCAACTCTACCAAAGCTGATTGGAAAGGCTTCGCGGAATTTTCTGAAAGCACCCTCGCTGCCCTCCCCACAACCACCGACAATCACCTAGCTGAACGTAAGTTCCGCAGGGTTGTCACTGCTGCTAAAGCTCGCAGGTCGTATAACGAACCCCCGTCCAAACTTTCCTGCTGAATCGGCTGTTCTAGCCGATAAGCGTGACAACCTTCATCAAGCCGATCCCGGAAATCCCCGTATCAGGGATCTCAATACTGGGATTCTACAGCTTGTGAACGTACATAAGCGGAAAAGTGAGAAGAGCATCTTGACCTCTGGTGTGAGTAAGCTTTGATCAATCGTGAGGTCCCTGTCCAATCCGACAAAGCGCGACGACGGAGTCGAAATATCTTGCGGCGACCGCGCTTCGTCGTCCGACTGTTTTAGCCGAAAATTTATAATGCGTACTGCGGACAAAGCCAAATAATGCATAATGCAGACAAAGCCAAGCGCCGAGTGACCAGAAGGTTGCGAAAATTGCCAACAACTAGTGCGCCTCTTGTTTTCTCCAGCGGTGAAGCCATCGGGAAGGCGAAAGCCTTCAAAGCCATGGGACTCGACGGAATATGCATGCTGATGCTGAAAAATAGTGGGTTCTGCGGGAGTAGACTATTTAGCCAAGGTTCTCAACCTGTCAATGGCAACTCTCATCATTTCAGACATCTGGAAGATGGGGAGAGTAGTCCCACTGCTCAAAACGGGGAAACCAGCCAACAAAGGACAGTCTTATCGTCCGATAACAATCAGCGAAGACAGTAGAGGTCTTGCTACTCCCGTATTTTGCGAACCACTTGACCCCAGCGAAGCATCAGCCCCTGTGAGAGAACTATTATAGTAGCGTTAGACCTGTCAAAGGCGTTTGATACCGTCAGCCACTCCACGCTGCTAAAAGACGTAGAGGCCTTCTCACTCCCACAGAGACTCAAACGGTGGTCAGCGAATTATCTGAGTGGTCGACATTCGTCAGTAAAATTTAGAGACAAATCGTGAAAACCTAGAAAAATAAAACAGGGGCTCCACAGGGTGGTGTCCTTTCTCCATTGCCGTTTAACTATTATTAACTACCACAGGGAGTCTCGACTGTCTCTCACGGTGACGATTGTTCGATAATGGCGTCTGGGAATGGAATTGATGACTTGTGCACGAAAGTAAACGGGTATCTCCCCGAGCTTTCGCGCTTCTTCACTGCTAGAAGTCTAACCCCCTCTCTACAAAATCTTCTGCGACCTTATCTACAACCTGGACGAAGGAGGTCAGACTACCGCTGGGTATTTACGTTGATAACACACAAATTCCGACGGTGAATAATCAGTGTGGCCAACTTTCAAAAAGAACCAACACTTTGAAAAAACGTTTTACCCACCAAAAGCACTAAATTTTTTTTGGAATCAAGGGATACTTTTTTGCCATATCAAAGCGCAACAACGGTTATGTTACGCCATCGGAGCCAGCCTCCGCCGAACGGCATCGGGAGCATCCGCCGCCTCTGGCATCGTGGTCAAGCAGCCTAGTTAATCTTGCGAGCTATGGACAACCACGGGATTAAGCGACTCAGCACCCCAGCTACTAGCTGACTAGCCTGCTGCTGCCCTGTGCTCTGAGGACTTGACCAGACTTCAAGAGGCCATTATGGACAAGGACCTCAAATGGTGGATGCATCCGCTGGCGTTTTGAGGGTGTGTACTTCTGGTCATGCATGCTACTTGTCGACTGAAAGTATGAGCGGCAGAGAATATTGAGTGTTGGAAGGGGCCTGTGATACCAAGAGGGAAGATGATATCCCGCCGATGCGCAAAATCTCGGTGTACCTTTCGAGGAGTGCTGATAAATCGGCTGAGTACGCGCTGGTGCCTTGGTGGCTCAGAATGAGGGTATTCACGCTGTCGGTTGGAAAGTTATTTTGTGCAGCCCTTAGGAAAATGGGCTCAGACTCAATCTGTGTACCGACGAAGAGTCATACGTTAGCATCAAAAGTGCCGGCTTCAACGTGGACTACGGGTCTTCACGAAGAGGGCGTGGCGGCAAAAGACGACAAAGCTAGGCATTAAAAGATATTTAGATATGTATGGACATTTCTCAGTTGGTTTCTTGTTTATTGAACTAACTAAAAATATTGAAAAATCCCTATTATTACTCGTAAATGTTCGTAAAATTAGATATGTATGTATGTAGGTACGTATATTTTTAAAGCTTTCAATTTACAATAACTTACGCTAAAAATTTATGATTTATAAAAAAGTACAATTACTCATTTATTTACATCAGCAAATCACTTGTGGACTCAATTTAATCGTGTTAAAATACTCGTACTAGCACTATCGTTTGTATATTTAAACCATTATGCTATTTAAACTACTCACACTTTTTATAATACTTTTCTTATAAAATAAGAGTAATTTTATAAGGAAATTAACTAGATAAATTATGCTAGCGGATTTGCTATAAATGCACCCGAAAGAAGCACCATACTGCAGTATGTACATTTATAAGCACAAAATGTCTACTAGTAATGTAATCATTAACGTACGATTTAGCTTATTATGTAAGTACATATTAGTTGCGTACCCTAACACGCAATAAGTTGCAAGAATTTGCAGGAATTTGCCAAAAAGCGTTCCCGTACTCGGTTCTCTGGCTTCTTTTGCCTTTTGACAGTTTTACAGGTTTTAATCCAGAAAAGTTGGGGAAGGCAACTATTTATAGGGAAACGTTTTGAGTCCTAGCATTAGCGTTATTTATACATCACAACATACTTAACGCGTTCGTCGGACATCACACACAGGAGCAGGAAGACAACGGGCGCATACTAAATATACTACACGCTCGTATTTGACACTGAATTGGCAATAGTCACCACTGTTATCGGTGTACTTGTAGCAGCTGCGGCGGCAGCACGCGATGTAGATGCCGCTCCAGTTGCCGCTTGCGTATTTCCTATTGGCCCCCCCACTGTACCACCAACATTCAGCGTTTGAAGAGGAATAGCGGAAGAAGTGACATTTGCAGTTGCTGCTGGATGTATCACACTTCGATCGATCTCCGAATAAGGCGGTACCGTCGTATCGGTGGTTGCAATAGAGGTGTTCGATGCGGTATATGGCTCTAGAGTTCCAGCCGCCGTTTGGGCTACGCTCATTGCCATTACTTGCTCATAGGTGGGCAAATCCTTTTCATCCTTCTCAAGTTGTGCTCGAATGCGTGCAGCATCTTCAGCGGCCGGGTCGACATAGAAAAAGTCACTGCATCGATGTGGCAATGTGTTGTTAGGCGCCTCATTGGCAATTGTGAATATGTTTCCTTGGCGATCTGGAATAGATAGATGTGGAGAGAGAGGAAAATGAGAATAAGTTGAAGTAATTTTCATATCGTCGAAACGGTGGCTATTTAGTTATATGTATAAGAAAATATTAGAATAAAACAACTTGCGGAGAAAAAAAACCAAAATAATTTCAAAATAGTGTACGCAGCTAATATTTCCACTCCGATATATTTACCTTTGCAGGTAATAGACAGATCTTTAGCAAAGTGTATCTGTACCACATAAGATTTTTTGTCTAAACCTTCGAAACTTTTTTCTTAAAGTCGAAAATCACTAGCTTTTAAGCATCAGCTATGAAGCCTTATCGAGAGTATAATACAAAAGCATAAAGCCCACCGTCAATGAACTGAAAAGACCTTATCCACTATAGACCAGGTATTCACTATGCGCTAAATCTTGGAATGATCACGAGAAGAGGTTGACACACACCACACATCTGTTGGGTTTAAGGTCGCTTTCCTTAGCATCCTGCAATGTGACCGCAATCTGACTTCGATATAAGTAATTGGTATAGTAATGATCCGCGGCCGCTGTGGTGTAGTGGTAAGCAGTTCAAAAAAAGGTACTAAGTCCATTTTTTGAAATTGTTCAGGAGAGACGAAAAATCGATGTATGTAGTTTCTTCGAAACGATCGCATGTAAACACAGCGCACATTGGTTCAAAATTCGCATTTTGTGTGCACAATTCACTGGAGCCTTCATTTTTCACTTAATTCACTCAGAACGAAAAATGACACTGAAGTTGGCACAACCCCGAAACCGGTTTGTTTCCAAACCAAATTTGGCAAGGGATAACGGAAAAACGTTCCACCATACATCATACTCCTACGCTATCGGAAACACCAACAACCAAAAAGAAATTAATAAAAACTCGTTGAAAACAATTAGGTAAGGTTCTACCAAAACGAAAAAAAAATTCACAAGAAAAAACGCCCTATCACAAAAAGTTTTCCGATAACGCCCTATTTCAGAATTTTATTGAAAACACCCATATCTCAGAATTTGGTTGAAGAACCCCTATCTCGGCAGGCGATTCAAAATCGCCATATCTCAGCACATTTTCAATGTATTTTCGTTTGAGATAGGGCGCTCTTCAACAAAATTCTGAAGTAGGGCCTTCCTGAAAAGTTTCGGCGTTTTCAAGCTGGCTGCCGAGATAGGTCGATCGTCCACTCAGTTGTCGAAACGTTATAAAAAATCTTTCACCAAAATTAAAAAAAAAATGCAGTTTCTAGAAAAATGTTGGGTATGCAATATCATAGTTCATTTAGTATAATATTTGCAAGTGGCTAAGTGGTCGCGTTGATTTTCAATCACTTTTTCGCTAACATTTCGAGCTCATATGCAGGCTAAATGGGAAATAAAAGCGTTTGTTATATTATACTAAAATTTAATGATCTATAAAACTGCATACCCAAAATTTCTATAAAAATAAAAAAATTATAATTTTGGTGAAAATTGTTTTCAACATTTGAAATTTTTTTATTTGTTTTGGGAGAATCTACAATTATTTTCAACTAGTTTTTATTAACTGGAACAGGAGAATCGATTTTCTTCAAAATTGCTACTTTTTGTGCACTTTGCACTAAAAAATTTAATACAAACAAACAAAAAATCCAAAATCGGGCTCAGCTGGTCCTTCGCTATTTTATAAGCTTTCGTTAAAAAAAATTATCAAATTGAGCGAAAAATTAAGGCTCCAGTGAATTGTGAACACAAAATGCCAACTTTGAACCACTGTACAGCCTGGTTTGCAAATATTAACTCTAGGGTACCCTACCCTAGTTTTCGATTCGACCAAACTCGTTTATGTTTCGTAGCACAGTTCCTTGAAAATGTATTTGTTTAATTGAATTTCCAATATTTAAGTTATAACAAAACCGCGTAACTTTTGTTTTATTTTTCTTAGAAAAAATAGTGAAATAATAGAATAAGAAAAATTGTTTGACGATTGATGCCTTAAAAAATAAGAAAAGTAAGGCGTAATACATATTAGTCGATTCGACTTAGAATAAATATTTACGTTAAAATACCAAGTAAAAATAATGTTTCTTTCATACCACGCTCCGGTTCACTGCGTCTAGGCATTGCAAGCAAACGTAGTGTGACCTTAATATTTAAAGGAATCGAAAAGAACAAATTTTATATAACCAAACTTTTGTTGAAAAGCGCCAAATTTATTACGAACCACTAAAAATTGATATATTATAATCAATAACACAACGATAAGAAAATAAATAACGTAGTCCATGTTGGAAATCACAAAAGATTTTAAATTTCATGTGAAATTTAATCAAAACTGATCAAAGGTAAAAATACGACTGTAAATTCATATTGGGATAGACATCGAATAGCAATACCTCAAATTGGTAATAACAAATCAAATTTCCAAAAGTTTCCACTCAAAGCGATAGGTTTGTTTACATACGTCTGTGTGTGTGTAGGTGTAGTAACTTATCGCATGAAATGCGGCGCTTGATAAGCCTTTTTGAGTGCAAAATTTACAATAAATTTAACGCTTTCATTTCCTTCTAAATGCACCAGTTGCTTTCTATTTGTCTTTATATTTTTTTTTTATTTAAAGAGATAAACGACGACGACAAAAAGTTAGAAAGTAGGACTCCATGCACTTTGTTAGATTGAAAATCATATTTTCGCAATTAGCCGACAAAGATTGGTTACGAAAAACGCTAGTGGGCCTGTACACGGCTAATGGTTACAGAGGTATTCCTTTTACTGATTACAAAGAAAAATCATTCACTTAATAGAAATGTACATACATTGTGTGCTTTGTGATAATTTGGTTCGAAAGCGACAATGATGTCTATTTCCGCCGAAAAGGTGTCAAAACTTCGCGAAGGTGATGCGCGGTTCCGAGTATTTAAAGAACTGGTTCTCTAGGGTCCGGTTTCAACGCGAACCGGAAATTTGACCCGGTTTTGGTTCTCAAAAAGTTGGTAACGGCAATAGGCCCTATTGAAATAAAATAACAAAAGGTTTTAAAAAGTTAAAACAAAAAATTAAAAAAAAATATTAGTTTTATTTTTCTTTCTTGTTATAAAGTAAAGAAAATAAATAAATATATTACCATCATTCTTTAGTTGATATTTAATGGCGGCTATATGATACAACAATTAGAACAATTAGAAGGTAAACTAAGGGCTCTATTCTGTATCGTAGTCGAGTGGTTCGGCACTAGTTGGGGAGTAGTTTGGGCCCAGTTGGGGCTTGATTTGGGATCCGTTCGGGATTATATACAAAATTTTTTCGCACTAATAATTATTATCAAAAGATTTTTATAATATAAATCTCAAAATAAAAGTCGTTGAAGACTTAAAAATATGTATCTCGCTGATAATTATTATGAAAAGACTTCTGTTATATAAGTCTTTAAATAATAGTTACTGATGACTTAAAAAAAATTTCTCACACATAATTATTATCAAAAGACTTATAATTCTTACGAAAATTGCGATGACTTTTTTAAAACTACACCACGAAATAATTATTATTTTGGGTCTCTGTTTCAGACATTTTCGATAATATGTGCGCCGGGTATTTAATGTTCGGCTTCGCCCGAACTTGGACTTCTGTACTTGTTTTTATTTCGTCATAGACAACAGTTGGCCGTTTTTGTCAGTATTGTCATCGAACTCACTCCAGACCTGTATTAATTACCCGAGATTATTCCGAATCAAGGAATTGATCTGGATCAACGCTGCCATATGTCTATGATATAGATCAGAAAGGTTTGGAGGATGTATTTAAATTAAATATTAAAATTCATTGAAGTACTAGTAGTAGTTGCAAACATACCATTGTAATTACGCCACGTATGCTGCCGTACTGTCCGTTGACAATGTCGATGGCAATTTCGATATCCCTGCGGACACAATCTCGCCAAAGTTTTACTTTCGATTCGTGTACAAAAGCAAAAAATTGGCAACACAATAAATGCATATAGAAATATGATAACTATTAAAGCAAAAATACTCATTTTCAAAATGTTTTCGTCGACGCATAACTTTTTCTTAGACTCTCATTACACTATTTATTTAAAAAAAAAAAATAATAATAAATCCATACAGTTCAAGTGTGGAAATTTTTAATTATTCGCACGCACGTACACTCATAGGTAGATGTGTATGAATTTAATTTTGTACGTAAAATACTTGCAAAAATTTCCATTCAAATCAACGTTGTAGATTAGCCAATAAAATAAGACTACAATGCGCGAAAAATTAACAAACACTGGTCAGCACCGCTCGTAGATAGTGTGATCTAAATATGTAGAAAAAAGTTATATTTCACCCAATAAAAGCTTCTATTTATGCATTTTCCAAATTATTTTATACTCCAAATATGAATATAGTATGTTAGTACATACTACCCGACAAGCACTACAACAATAACCACAATATCCATTGCCTGATAAGCTCACTCGTACTTACATATGTACACATGCTATTTAAGATAAGATTGCATATTTTCTGCAATCTTCCAGCTACATACATACATACGTGTTTCGGCTTTTGCTCCGATTTCGATATATATATTTGTAAAACAATATTATTAATGAAGAACCTTGATATGATAAGGTTAGGGTTTTGTTTTGATTTGGGGTTTGCTTGTTCGATCATCGACCGGCCGTCTTTCAGGTGTTGGGCAATGTGCTGTGCTTAAGTGGTCTTTGAGTGCGCTACCATTCCGTTCCATCAATTTCCCATATGATGGAACTACGATGGTTTCTTAACAAATTGTTAAAGATACATCATACAATGTTTAGATGGGCAATCTCGAGAAATACCATTGCATACATGTAGGTCTTTTCAGCAGAAACAAAGTCAGACTTATTGCCCTCAACCAGGGTACGAAAATAAACTATATTGTACGTTACTATTTCGTTTCGTTTATTACTTCAACAGTTCGGTACAATACGAAAACAAAACGGCTGAGTTCACTTTGGCGATAGTACACTACAGTAGTTTAGTAGTTACAGACGAAACAACAAACGAAATGAATCGTGCAGAGAAAAATATATGTATGTATGTACACATATCCAATAACTAAACACAAAACAAATAGCTGCAATGAATAAAAAAATAAAAATGTTTTTTAATTGAATTGGATATGAAAATTTACAGTAAAAAATATTTTTCACGTAATTGAAACGTTTGTGATATCACCCTATGGCACAATTGTCACAAACGAAAAGCAAACGTTTCTAGTTGGGGAAAATGACAGTGAATCTTACAAATTGTTTCTGACTATGTACAAAACTGTACAAAACCACAAATGATATGATGATCGATGAGCAAATGGGAATTGTTTTGTACAGTTTATTTTCGTACTCTGCCCTCAACCCTTTTATAAAACTTTACAGCCCTTTCCAGTCTTCGGTATTAACGCCACCCTGACGAACCGCCTGCGGATATACCGACGCTCTTGAAGGTTTGTTATAACATTGAATAAGTTATAATAAGCCATGAACCCGCTATCCTTTAAAACAAGGCCCGCGATAGCTCTTCACTGTGGACCTGCATGGAAAACTGCAGTTAAATTGCAATGTACTCAGACAGAACACAAAAATACTCAGCTCTGCTAAATGTAAGTTTCCAGATTACACGAACCCGTCTTCGAAATAAGATACATCTTGGAGGTTTCTTAACTTCCTCTGGCATCCTAATACACTATTTCTAGGGCACAGATGTCAGACAGATGAATAAAAAACCAAGACTAGTACGTCCCATGAAAAGATTATACCAAAATTCATTCTGGAAACTGGAAACTTAAAACCTACTTCGCACACAATATGCAAGATTGAAAAGTTTTCCCAGGCTGGCGATTTTAAGCATTTTTTTTTAATTTAATTTGAATTTGGTGGTCGCAGAACTGCATTTAAAACAATTAAAACTGATCAAAATGAAAATATTTATGCATTCAAAAGCAGGGACCGAAAATAATCGTGATCATGAAGAATTTTTATTTAAAAACCATTGCATAATCGTTATTTTTCTATTTATATAACTACGATAATTTTTAACCGTTATTTTATAATTTTTGTTTTTTTTTCGGTCAAAAATAATCGTTATTCTTTAATTTTTTATTTTTTCAATCATTTTTAATCGCGATTTTTATTTTTTCGATCAAAAATAATCCTTGTTCTTTGATTTTTTATTTATTTTTTTCAATAATTTTTAAAATGATATTTTATGATCTTTATTTTTTCGGTCAAAAATATCCATTATTCGTTATTATATAATTTTTGTTTTTTTTCGATCAAAAATAATCGTTATTCTTTAATTTTTTATTTTTACAATCATTTTGAATCGTTATTTTATGATTTTAATTTTTTCGATTAAGAATAATCGTTATTCTTTGATTTTTTTTCAATCACCTTTAATCGTTATTTTATGATTTTTATTTTATCATATTTCCAGGGTTAATCTTGTCTGATCTTAGAAAACCAAAAAAAACTTGTAGTGTTGACCATTAAAGCAACAAACGTAGACCTAAGATAACCTCACGAACCACAAAAGAAAAAGTTCAGCAGGAAAATGAAAACAAAAATTCTTTGATTCATTGCAGGTTATTGCATTATTGATACCAGTGATGGGTGGCTTCACTAATTACCGCGTACAAAAAGATTTTGGTATTTTCGGGGCTACTTCGGCATTTTTGAGACTATTTCAGGATTTTCGATGTTTTAGGGGCTATTTCGGGATTTTCGAGACTACTTCTAGATATTTTTACTATTCTAGGCACTATGTAGGGTTTTTGAGACCAAATATAAATAAATGTGTTTATCGATAAAAATATTGATCATTAATATCGATAAAAATATTAATAAATATATCAACAAAAAATCGATAACACTACTGAAAAATTTTTCGAAAAAATATCGATTATTATATCGATAACAATATCGATTATTATATGGATAATAATAGCGATTATTATATCGATTATTATATCGATAACAGTGGCGATTATTATATCTATAAATTTATCGACAACAATATCTATTATTTTATCGATAACATTATCGATAAATATAACGATAGCAAAATCTTCAAATTTATCGATAAATATATCGATATCAGGATCGACAAATATAACGAAAGCTTCGAAATAGTCCCGAAAATCATGAAATAGTCCCGGGAATCCCGAAGTAGTCTCGAAACAGTCCTGATTCAATTTTTCCTAAATCATAAAGTATTTGGTTTCTAAGTATTTAGTCATGTAATAAATACCTTAGTACTTTAGTGAAGGTATTTTGCATCTCCAAAGTACCCGAGTACTTTGGACTAGAGTATTTAGCGCCTTTACTTTAGCATCTAACAGATCCTAAATGGCAAATTATTTTTTACTTTAGTATTTACCAACCCCTAAATACCAAATTTTTTTACTTGAATATTAAGACATTTCCAAATATTAGGTATTTGAGTATTTAGTACTGGTATATTAAATACAAAATTACTCAAGTATGCCCATCATTGGATACTATTTACATTCCAAGTGGGAAAAGGTAACGTCTGGGAATGCAAAACGTAATGGATAGCCCCTATAACCTACGCACGAAAAGATGCAAGAATAACTGTTATTTTTGATCGAAAAAATAAAAATCATAATATAACGATTAAAAATGATGGAAAAAATAAATACCACCAGAAAGGTTTTTGATAGTAAAAATATCTGCATTTTACTCACTTTTAATGGCTTTAGATGCTGCAAATTCAAATTGAAAAAAAAAACGCTTAAAATCGCCAATCTGGGAAAACTGAGAAACTTCTTTTCTTTATACAATCTAGACTTTCAGATAAACTTGGTTTCATCAATTCACCAGCCGACTGCCGAACAGTGTGTTAATACTAAAGTTTACTATAACAATTAATAAGGAACAAACATTTTGCAAATACATATGAAAATGATAACATACCAGCATAAATTTGCATCTGCCTCTGTCTTAATAATTCACGCCGAAACTCTTTGTAAACGCACGAGATCATTTGCATACAAAACGCTATCACAGCGCAACCGAAGAAAAAGGCTAATGCCGAAAACATCAATAGGTATACGACGTTCATCATAATACTTGGTTAAACTATTCTTATGTTAGCCGCTTTGATTAACAATCGATCGACTACTCGTGTTATGCCGGTCACTCTAATACTAATCAAGCTAATTCTCGATTAGCACAACTCCCATTCGATTTTCGATTCTTTGTTTTGTTAAAATATGAGAACATTTCTTTGCTGAAAATGAGTAACCGCTTAAGTTCACTTAGAACACGAGTGATACTGATATTGCACGTAATTAGGAGAAATCTCAAAAATGCTTACGATATTTTTTTAACAGGTTACAAGTTGTATTAACAAAAAAAAAATTGTGCATTGTAAACACATTTAAGAACAAATCTCGAATTTAAAAATGTTTTTTTTTTCTTCTTAAAATTTTGTTTAAAAATTTTATGGCCTTATTCATAAAAGATAAATAAATAAAAAATATATTTTTCAATTTATATGTAAACCTTTTTTAAAGCTACTTTATTTTTTATGACTAAGGCTATTAAACTGTTATTCTTTGTGAACACATCTGCATATCGCACACGATCTTCAAAAGTGACACAACTCAAAATTACGCGTTCGTCAGAAAATGCGAAAAACTATTTCTTAGCACATGCTAATCATATAGGCAAGGGCGATTTAACCTTGGGTTTTTTAATTAAATTATAACAAAAATTTACACCAGCTGCTGAAAGGTAGCTCTAAAAGCTCTATGAACATTTTTAGTGCATTATTTCAAAAATGCCAAATTTTGAGTTGTGTCACTCTTGAAGATCGTGTGTGATATGTGTATATATGTACTATGTATTTCTTGTATTATATTTTGCTTAAACAGGTGAAGTTTAAGAACAAGCACTTAACGATCTTTGAGTGCTACCTGCAATTGTTTAGGCTCGCTCTTATCTTTATTTTTCAGCATGGCGTAAAGTAT